CATGCCATCCATAATATAAATCCCAACCCTCAAGTATCAAAATGTCTCTGTTAGTTAAATTAATCCAATCACTAATCCAGGTTAATACCACTGCTTCATAATATAATTTTAAGTTAGGGGCTTTAAGTCCCCCTCTTTCCCGTGCATCTTGCAAAATTTTAAATTTTACCCTAGGTTTTTTCCCCTGCCATATGAATCTATTGATACCTCTTTGCCATTCTTCCAAATTTGAATCCTTTTTTAAAATAGGTATCATCTGAAACAAAAAAAGAAAAGTTTTACTATACTTTTTGAACCTGTTTCACTTGTTCACCCACTGAGTAAAACCTGAGGACCAATATATTTCATTCAGATAGCCCCAGTGAATATGGTCTTAATTAACCATTATGTCCAATCTTCTTTTACTATTTATCTGGACAATCTTATTTTTCACTTTATTTACTTTAATTTTTCATTCAACCATACTTAACTTTAAAAACCTTACAATGGACAAGGTACTTTTTCTTCAATAAGATATTTGATGTATGCTACAGAAGTTGTTAGTTGCCTTTGTGTTAAAAATACACCTTGAAAACTGTCAGGAGATTAATTCCTTTGCAAATATCATATGTTTAATACAAATAAGAGGGCAATATTTGTTAATAATTGCATTTCATAATCCCTTAATTCTTTGTATATGCAGTATTACGCATAACACATTTCACTTTGTCCTACACACACACACACAGTAGAAATGTTATGACTGGTTTATTCAGGTGCCATGGTATTGGTAACTTGTTTTGAAAAGGTTAGACAGTCTAATTTTAAGGCTGACACAAATCTAAACACACGATGTCTAGCCATCAAAGGCCAAGTTCCTCATATTAAGTTCATTGTGCTAGATAAGTAAATTTAGATCAAGACCAAACTAGACATATAACATGCCTGGACCTGCTACAAAGTAATCTTGAAGTTTAAGAACAATTATATAGGGAACTGGGCAAAATTAATTTATTTTGTATTTGAATCTGAAGTTAAAGATTATTAGTTAAAAATAGGCAAAAGTCTGCATATAATGCATGTTTAAGAAAATGATATACAAAAGTACATTATAGTAAGGAAAACTGCAAAAATTATATATTTGGAATAGGCAAACCAAAGTGAATAAGTTTGGGTAATGTCATAAAAATCCATTCTAATTTAATGCAAATTAATAAAAGAAAAATATAGATTGATTTTAAAATTATCTCTCCTCCCAAAAGAAAGATTCCAGAAAAATGGTTATAAATACATGCAAAAATTTGTAGTGCTGCTCAGCTGTCTTTCATTGTCAACTAAGGTTGTCAACTATTACTGGAATCAGTATCAGATACTTTTGTCCCAACTAATATATTCATATGACACAATATGTATAAATATATATAAATACAATATGTACACATATCCAAGGGCCCCATTCCAAAATCAACAAATTTATGAGAATAAATATTTCATAAAACACTCCATGGGCAAAATTAATTGGTCCACATCTACATACAAACATTATCTCACATGTAAACCATCCTCTCTGTGCATACACAAGAAAAGTGTAGTCATGACAAACAAGCAGACCTATTGGAAATCTGGCCTCTGCAAATATAAAGCTGTGCATACTAACTTCAACATTAATTCTGTTAAATTCATTTACACCTATTCTCTGGTTAAGTACATACAGGCTGCTATGCTATGGTTAGTCCTATTTACAGAAAGTCCTTCTCTTTTGAATTTTCATGAATATGAACAAAGCTATCTGCAACTCCAACCTAGAAGTCTATGGAGATTCTCAGTCATCCAGGTCATAGTTATCCTAAAGATGCTTTTTCACGAGGCAGCTAGACTTTCTTGTTTTTCTCTGAAGATGTTTCGCTTCTCCTCCAAGAAGCTTCTTCAGCTCCGACTGGATGGTGGGGAATGGAAAGATTTATATTCCTTGCAGACAGCTGTTCATTTGCATTCTTTTAGCAAGTTGTTAATGCTACCTGGAGGCTTATCTGTCTTCAGGGTCACCTGAGTAGTGCAAATGTGTGTGGTGCCTCCTTGGAACTGCCAGAGCCATTAGTAAATAGCCTAACCAAAGAATCCCCAAGACCGCCCCCACCCACCCAGACAGGCAAGACACCAGAATATAAACAGACAGCAAACAGCACTCCTTACTAGCACTGATGATGTTACCTAGTTAGGGTAATGAAACATCTGCAAGAAAACAAGCAAGCTCAGAGAGCATCAAGGACCCCACAATTTATACAACTATTACATGCTTTATTTTGGATTGTCCTAAGGGACGATCTGGGCAACAAGAGTGATAATGGAATAAATAGACCTCATTTAGCAATTTCATATGTGAAAACAGATTGGCTAAATGCATAATATATGGATATATTATACTAAGTATGTTTTTTGACCAAAATCTAGAAAGTTAGAGAAGTTGGAGAAGCAATACCAATTTTTATCAGTATTCATGTTTGTATACCATAGAAAAGCTTGTGTTTCTATATATTTGCCTCCTTATACTGGTTATTTCTGAAACAAGCATTCCGGGAGACATGGAGAAGAAAAATACATAGTGTGAAAACTAATAATTAAAATATTTATATTTTGCCTTTTAACTTCAGCAGGGGTCTAAAGTGGCTTATTGAACCTGAATTGAAATAATATAAGCTAGAACAAAACAAAGTACAGAACTAATGAAGTTGATAATGGGAGCAGAGTAGAGCTGCTGCAGTTGCTGTTGAAGAGGCTCATAGAAAAAAAAATAAGCTGCATTAAACTTAATCATACAGTATATTAAAAATTTCCAGAGTTTTTGAAGCAACATATTTTTCTTTGTTGTATATTTGTACTCTTGCATGAGTGGGTTTATATTTGAATCCTTTCATTAATAAATGCTATGAGATCTAATGAAGAATAAGAACTAAAACCTGCAAGCTCCTTATCAAGCATCAGTAATAAGCAAGCTCATTAATATTGTATTCTTTTTCCCCCACTAAATTATATGAATTGCCTTTTCCTTTAGATTTTACTTTTTAAAATAGTTCAGGGTTTTTCACCTCAATTTAAGAAAACTGATAAAACAACCAGTCTATTTAATTATGCAGCGGAAGTTAGCTTTTTTGAATTAAATATGTTGAAAAGATACTCAAGATAATATATTCCACTCAACTTCCAGGAAAAAATTCTTCATGTCATTAAAATCCTTTGATGCCTTTTAATTTTTCAAATAATTCTGAAGATTAAAAGTTAGTTTCTTGTCTCTTTCATTGTTTTGTAAAGGACTAGCTTGTTACGTTTATCATGCAACTAAAACCACAGATTTTAAAGCATAGAATCTGTAAAAAAAAAACTTTCTGTTTGAGACAATTATCGGGAAGATCAAAGTGTAAGAAAACAAAATTACTTCAGTGTTTTCAGTTTTTATTAACAGTACAAGTAATGGTAGGAATGAAATGAAATTTAAAATAAAGGCATCTTGAACAATATTAAGTTATGTGACATCCATTTAAATACTTTTAATCAACATAGTCAAAATCTTCTGGTATACTAAATGTTTTGTCAATTTTGTTGTCTTCAAATCCAAACTTCCGTTTAGCCCAAGATTTTACAGCAAATATATTATCTGTAAATAAAGTAGTTGAAAAATAATGGACATTAGGGCTTCAAGTGTTTATAATGATAATCATAGTAAAAGACCCTTAATGTTTAAAGTTAACATATCTATAAATTGTCATCCTGAGTCCCCTCCTCAGACATAAATCACCTTTTTGGTTGCAACATCTAACAGTGATTATTTTGTAATTTCCAGTTCTCATGTAGAGATGAGGATAAGAACTACACTGAAATCCCTTTCCTATATAAGATATTTCAGTAGTAATAGTTTTCCAAAAAGCAATTGATTGCACCATAGGCACAGGGCAAATAGTTCAGCACAAAATCTACTGAGCTTAGAACTTGACATACACACTTAGTAACTGAGGAGTTATTTTGAAAAGTCATATGTCTCTGGAAGTTTCAATACTGGTAGGCACCAGTTTTTCCTTTGTTTATTTAGATTCTATCTAGATTTTAACCGAAATTGTTTACTTCCCATTCAATTCAGGAATTTAAAAAAAGAAACCAATCCTTTCCTCTCCGTGATAAAATCGATGTTGAAACATGATTATGTACTAATTATTTTGAACTTGTTTACACATGACTGTTCCTGGAAAATTGTCCCAATGTGGAATATGATGTAATGTGATGAAATTGTAATTACAATATAAAATCATATACCATTCATATCATCATTCACAATCATCCGACAAAGACCAAATCAATCTGTAGGATTACCATGATTCATATACTACTGTGCACTCTAATTTAAAACCTCAAGTAACTTCAGATTAATGTACACACACATTTTACTGCTTTTTATTCAAATACTTGCTTAGTTTGCACCATTATTCATCATTATTTGTAGATTAGTTGAAGCTTGTCATTCAGTGTGTATGATTGTGTGTGTGTATATCTTAGCATCCAAACAATAACAGAAGTGATACCTAGCAAAAACTGAGAGCCTATATCTAACAATGAACAAAAACATTGAAATATTTGAATCAGAAATCACAAAAAATATATTTATGTTTGCATTTATGACCAATAGCAAACTTCACCAGTAATGTTATTTTTTGAGTTTTCAGCAATCTGTTGCCTGGCAAATAAGTCACTTCTATGTAAAAATAGTAATTAAAATCTTAAATTAAAAATTGTTTTTTCCATGTATTTATTTTTGTTCACAGAAGAATGTGTAAAATAATGTAATGCATACATACCAGTCCATCTGTTGGCTGCTTCCTTGGCTATTTTATTTGCTTGACCTAAAAAGAAAAATAAATAAATAAATAAAATTCCATAGAAGCAATTCTTTAGATCAATAACTGAACAGATTCAAAAGAATAAAACTATATTTTCAAACTTATTATACATTTTAAATAACTTGAAAATGTTTTACTGTTCTTTTGAAGTTAATGTTCAACCAATTCTCAAAGATTAGTGAAGTTACACCAAAGTGAAAATATATGCTGAAGTAATGGCTTCTACCAGTTACATCTGAAATTTCTTGACATATATCTTGCTGTATTATAGGAAAATAAGAATCTTTTAGTGCTTCACTGAATTGGAAGAGGCTGTGCTCTAAGAAGAAACACTCTATTGTACAAAAATTTTAAAATTAGGGTATCTGAATTCTGTGATGCATAATAAAGAATTTTATTTGAAATAATGCTTTTATTACTACTTTTCATCAAAGATGAATATATTTATAAAAAAACAAAACATTGACGAATTACAGAATCTTGTAAAATCCCTTGCTCATTTGTTATAAATTATTGGGGCAACTTCTTAATGTTCCAGTTCATATATTCTCGTTATTCAAATTCCTTGCTATGGGAGAATTTATGAAATGGGAATTGGCAGCTAGTAAAGTTCATAAGTGTATGCTGAAAAAGCTTCTGTATCCAAAGTTCTACACCAATGTGTTTGATTGCTTATAGAAACAGACTACACTGTTTAAGGTGAACACCTAAAATATATACATCCATTTTATGAGACTATTTAATCACATACCAAAATAATACAGAAATATTTCTAGGCTAGCCTATGATCACTCAAAAGATTGTGGGGAAGGGGCTATTGGGACACATGGAAACTAGTCTTATAGCAAATAAGGTTTTACAGTTTTCTTCTAATTTTCTGAATTGCATACTCCAGCAGGCTTCCATAGTGAGATCCTGAAATTATTTATAATTCTCACATCCACATATAGCCCTGGTTTGTCAGTACCTGTCCAGCACTTTAGTGGCAATGGTCAATGTACAAGTTTGTCTCTAGGAATGAGAAAAATTAATGCAACATAAAATGTTTTATTGTTATAAATTTACACTATTAGCAAGACTGAATTTGCAAAATGAACTGTTAAATATGTGGCAGAATAAGTGCCCAACTCCAAATCCTAGCCTATAACATGAAGAACTATTTTATTTAAAACTTGCAGATGAGATCATACAGCTGCTTTAAAAAAAAGTGCAAGTATTTAGAAAAGTTTCCACAGTTTTGACTTTGATTATAAATCAAAAACATTTTTAAAATGAAACTTAGTATGCTAAACTATTTAGTAAATAAAAATATAACTTCAGATTAAAAATCATAATAATAAATTTAAAATAAATTAAAGGAAGGAAGGAAAAAGAAAAGAAAAAAGGATCCTGTAAATTACACTACAAAGATAGGTTCTCATCTAAAATGATATGTATTCCTTGAAATGATAAAATGAATCATGAATAAAATTATGATTTCACTAGGACTAAAAATAAATATCTCAATTACTTTTAATAATCATATTTTAATCAAAATATCAAGTAAATTAATGATAAAATTTTACAACTTTATAAATCTGTTTTATTGGAAATAAGCAAAAATACTTAAAATTTGAAACACTATTTGTAATAGGATGTTCTTGCTTGCTTTTGCATAATTTCTGAAATTTGGGTTTTATTTTGTACATAACTATTCTTATTCACTGAAATCAAAGAAAAAGAAAAAAAGGGAAGTAAAAACTTTGCTTCAAAATGCTGCAGTTTGCAAAAAAAAACCTGGCGGGCAATAAACTTTTTTCACTCTTTCCTCCCATGCAGACAGAGTATGATAACAACCACAGGCCATTTTCTCTTTCCTTTCTAGCCTAGTTTTTGAGTCCCTTGGCATTCTTGCAACTTTTTCCTTCTTCATAATCATTTTCCCTTGCTCTCTGTTGCAATTCTATCTGTAAAAATATGGTCTTACAGTCCAGGGGGATCTGCAACCCTCATGTTAAGAAATCCTCTTATACAGTACAAACAGAATTTCATTTTTTTTATTGTATTAAGATGTTCCTCCTTGCTCCTCTGCCAAATATTGATAGAGAATAAATAAAATTGCTGCAAATCAGCTATAGATTTTCCCTGCAAGTATTGTATAATATTTTTAGCCAGACCCCAGACCCCTAAAATCTACAGTTATAAGATGAACATAGGCATCTTGAATAAATAGTGATACATCCAAATTAACATTAACAATCTTATCAATGTTGGCCCAAAATAGGACTACAGAGTAAGACCAAACTCTGAGTAAGTTCCAACTCCTGAGTTAATTTTAACCATCCTGTATAAAACCTATCTGAAGCTTCCAATGTACATGAAACAAAATTTTGTTTTAAAGCACCACTCCATTGGTTTACAAAGATAGAACACTCAAGTTGTTAGTGCAGAAGTCACATAAATAACTTGCAGCAATTTCATCAATTTTGTATGACAGTTATTTGCTTAAGTGTTATTAAGATACCGTTCTTGCTCTCAGGCCATGGAGATCTATTAAAAAATTGTTCAGGACATGTCATCACATGGAGTTTCTATCTCTGTTCCGATTCTGTTCCAATGAGGCAGGCTAAATGAAGTTGATCTGACAGGCAAATGGAGTTTTCTGTCAGAAAATGCAATACAATCCACTATTTTGTATCCATACTCTGAGGGAGGTCAATGAGCAGTAGGTTTCCAGATGCTCTGATGCAGGACCATTCATTCTCTAGCCATGAGGCTCTGAGGCTCTATTATCCCTTGTGCTTTTCTGCTAGAGAGAGCCCACCCAAGCAACTGGAAAAGCTCTGTGCTTGCTACAGAACAGAAAGAAATAGTGGGAGCAGAAAAACTAGAAGCCTCTGTGGAATAGAAAATCTCCTAAGGAGACAGGCACCCTTTATCCTCCCTGCTTCTGTTCCTTGCACTTGCTCTTATCTCTGAATTTACAAGCAGCAGTCACCTACAAGTGAGGGTAGCAGTTTTGGAAGCACATCAAGAAGTATATTGTGAGGGGGGGGGGAAAGCAGATTTAAAAGGAGCAGGCCTTCCGCTACCTCAGGGACACAGGTAGTCCTCAAGTTACAAAGGCAATTGGGACTGGACTTTCCAACAGGAAGTTATGTGGTCATAAAGTGTGATGTCAGGTGACTGCATTGCTTAGTCCTTGTTGCCATGATTAAGCAAAGTTTGCAGGTCCTTAAGTCAGGACCTCATGTGACCATGACTTGTGATCTTGGAAGACTGCTCTCTTACAACAAGCAGTCAATGGGGAAGCCAGCATGAAGTCATAGGCCCTGGGCAGCTTGCAAGCAGGCCAGCAGATGGATGCGTGCTAATGAGTGCAGCCCCAAAGGAAAGGGCTCTTGTAGTGCTGTGCAAATATTGGGCAAACAGGCATGTTCTACAGATTGCAGGCAGGAAGTGTGCTGTGGGTGGGCCCATGCAACTAATCTCATACTTTGTAGTGGGCTCCTTAGGAAAAAAGATGGTAGAATCGACTTATGGGAGCAACTTGCGACCTTCCCTTCCAGCTTCCCCATTGACTTGGATCAGGTGACCATACAATGCTGCAACCACGCAGGTGCCTGAATCACAATCACGTGATTAAAAGGATGATGTGACAGTTGGAACTTTGAGCTTTGGTCATAAGTACCATTCATTCGGTGCTACTGAAAGAGTAATTGTTAACTGTAGGTGTTAATCCCACAAAAACATATAACCAAGGTAAACACAGCAAGAAAAGAGAAGTATGAAGGATCAACTGCAGATATAATACAAATATAGCAGTGGTGGCAAACCTATGGCACTAGTGCCAGAGGCGGTATTCGGAGCCCTCTGTGGGCACGCACACTGTCGCCCCAGCCTCGCCTTCCCCTGTAGCCCCCACCTCACCAGCAGCCCCCCTGGAGAAGAGTCACCCCCAGGTGCGACCCGTGCGGAGCTGCACAGCCAAGCACATGGCAGCTGGGCAGCAGATGATGCTGGGGGGTGCGGGTGTGGCCACCATGGCGCTGCAGGGCCGCCAGGGTGATCGGCGTGCCGTGGATGGTGCTGAGAGTGAGCGAGGTGAGGGCGGAGCAGGGCGAGAGCGGGCAGGTAGAGCGGGGGCGGGCCGGTTTTGGGGCACTCGGTCTCTAAAAGGTTCACCATCACTGAAATATAGTTCCAGTTATAAATTTCTGGAAAGATAATAAAATAACTTTACATTATTCATTCAAAATTCTTCCAGTAGTTTTTCCACTGTCAACATATTTCTTAGAAACAGCACTCAATAGAGAAAAATAGTTTGTGGGAAGGCAATTAACAAGACAAAATTTATGCCATATTGGTGTTGTATTTGAGAGTACACTATATCTTTAGGTATTAATATTGGGTTTACTATAATCAAAAGGGGAAAGGGGAAGAACAAGAAAAGAGATCTAAATGTATTAGAACCGTCAACCTTTTTTTATGAAGTTGTCATTTTAGAAAGTGTGGAGTATTATGAAATAACAAATTATTACTTTAATAAAAAATATACCGTAAGTATAATTTGAATTTTCATTGAGAATATACTGGCAATGTAGTGAAATAAAAGGAAAAAGAAAAAACTTTTGACCTGGGAAAAACATCAAGCATGAATAGCTGAATTTACAAAACAAGAAGTAGCTTGGACCAGTATGAGTTGTCAGCTTGCAAATATCCACCAACAAGCAAGTTTTGTAGTTTCTTTTTCAGCTAACAATAGCCAAATACCCTGAAACACTTTCAACTTAGTTATCAAATAACACAGTATGTGATAAATCCCCCCCCCCAATCCAAAAGAAAACATTTCTGTAATGCTACTCTATCTTTGGCTTGGATTCATTTATTCCAGTACCTTCTAAAATCATAATTGATAGACGCCCTGGAGTTGCAGCCAGGTACTTTTCTGAAAGAATAATTCTTTGTATTTAACTAATGAGACAACTACTGTAAAAGCAATGACTGTTTTCTAGGTCATTAGA